GCGGCAAGAGTTTTTATGGCAATATGCACTTGGATTTCAAGGAGTTATTTGAATGTAATTTTCACCAAAGACTTCATTGAGACATTAGCTGTGTTCAAACAGTTTTCACCTTTAAAAGATGTAAGTTTTGCTTTTAATAAGTTTTTTTTCTGATAGAAAAACGCATGTGTTCATACAGTATGTCCCCAAATTGTTTTTAAGAGACTATATAAAAAATTTTGCTTGTTTTAAAATGGTTAATTCAATTTATACTTTTCTAAATTTCCGTACTATTTTATAGAAAATAAAAAAAATATATAAAAATATGGTTGAATTTTTTTAAAGGCTCAAAAATCAAAACGCGTCTTAATGAAAATAAATATTTTGTTCTTTGATAGATGGTTATTATTAATTTTGATTAATGACATTATTTATTTTGCTGATTTTTATATATTAAAGAGGCACAAAATTTATTTATTTTAATGCTACAGAAAAGGTGATTATATATTTTGTGCTTCTTTAATATTAAAATCAGCAAAAAATTGACGTCAATTAAAATCAATAATAAGAATCTATCAAAGAATGATAAGGAAATGATATTACCATATTATAGAAACGTGTTTGGATTTTTGGAACTTATTTTTGGGAGGAAAATATTCCACTAGATATATTTTATATATATTTTTTTATTTTTCTATTTTTTATTTGATCAGTGAACAATATATTTTTTTATTTTCTATTTGAACAGGAAGAAACAGAAACTTACAAAGATACATAGAAGATATTCGTTTGTCTCAAAAAAGTTAATTATAAAAAGCCTTTTCTCTTGTAAAGATTATCCGGGGACATACTGTATATAGAAAAAATTGTATTTCTTTTGTTTAGTCGCAGTATTAAATACATAAATTTAAATCAGTACATTAAACACTTACATGAAATTAATTTTGCATTTAGTTCTTGATTTACTGGTTGCCTATCCTTAATAAAAATAAATTTAATACTAAGAACAGAAAATCCAAATATATTATATGAGAAAATCCATATACGTATGAGAAAATTAGAGAACAATGTTAATTTCTTTTTCTTTTTAGAAAGGAAAAACTTCTGTTTCTTCCTCAATTACAAGAGTATTGGAAAACTGTGGCGTCAAGAATTTTTGTGGCAATATGCACTTGGATTTCAAGGAGTTATTTGAATGGTATTTGTAAACAGGGCGCTGCAAGTACTACCTTCACTGGGACATTGGCTGTGTTCAAACTTCACTTTTAAAAGATGTAAGTTTATTTTCAGTACAGTTTTTTCTAGTAGTAGTACTTTATAAAAACCCGTGTTTGTACAGTACGTCCCCAAATCGTCTTTAAAAGGGAAAAGTATTTTTATTTTTTATATTTTGAGTAAAATATGAAAAATGCTTTTTTAATAAAAAATCTTTGTTCTAAATTGATTAATTACGTTTAGTTTTAGAGAAAAATAATAATTTCCCAAAAATCAAGACGCGTTCTTGTAATATTTTTAGATTTTCATTCTTTGATATAGGTATTATGGTTATTATTAATTTTGATTAACGACTTTTGCTGATTTTTATATGTTAAGGAAGCACAAAATTTATTTAGTTCAATGCTACAGAAAAGGTGATTATAAATTTGGGCTTCTTTAGAATTTCAAAGGAAAATAAATGTCGTTAATCAAAATTAATAATAACTATCTATCAAAGAATGAAAAGGAAATGTAGAAACTCATTTTGATTTTGGGACTTAAAAATGAAAAAGTTCAACTCAATTCAAAGTATATCTTCATATATTTTGTATTTTTCTCTTAAACAATGTGGAAATTTGGAAAAAGTATTAACGGGATTAATCATTTTATAACAAGCAAATATTTTTAATCAATTAAAAATGCATTTTTCTTGAAATATTAATAAGTAATGAAAAAAGTTTTTCCTCTTGTTAAGAAACTCCGGTGACATACTGTATATAGAAAAAATTGTATTTGTCTTATTTTTTTGTTCAGTAACAATAAATATTAAATAAACCCGAACCAAAAAAGATCGTGGACATAAAATAAATTAATTTTGAATTTAGTTCGTTATTTTTAATTCCTGATTTTACTGGCTGCCTATCCTTTCGTTTAAGAAGATTAATTTAATAAATATTAATTTTTAATTTATCCTGTGTTTAATGTATTTGTTTTACAAACTATGGCCTAGTCGATATAGAAAAATATTGTATTTTTGATGAAATTAGTTTATTGCTTCCTTTCTAATTTAATAAATAAAAAATTTCAGGTTTTCCTGAGTTCTCAACATTAAAAAGAACATTCTGTGGCAATATGCAGTTGATTTTCAATCAAAACTTATTGGAATGGAATGTATCAAGAGGTCAATAAAGGTACTACCGTATGATCGAAAAAAAAACGGCGTCCTGTTGGCTTGGAATTGACGATCGCTGCCATTTCTCATATAATTTTACATATAAAATGACAGCGATCTTCATTTCATAGCCATCGCTGACGCCGTTTTTATTCGATCATAAGGTACTTCGCTGTGGCAAGATCTAAGTGGCATTTTTTATTTTGATAAGAAAAAATATTAATAAAATTTAGTTTTTAATTAATTTTAATTTTAGTACTGTACTGGTATTTTTTATTTTACACAGTTGCCAAAGAATATAGATAAAGATTACAATAAACATTTTTTTAATCATATTTTTTGTGTTCTTGGATGTTTAGAAAATAATAAGTTTAAATATTGTTGATATTATACATTTATTTCTGTTTATAGGTTGGTAATGGTTTCGTAAAACTGCAGCTGTTATTGGTACTGGTACTTCATTTAACCTCCTGTATATTCCTCGTTGAAGATATGGAGCAGAACGAAGACTTAGGATAGGAACACTTCATTTTTATTAATCTCATAAAGACTTGTGGAAAATCAGAAAATTTAAAGAATTTTCTGATTTTTTATTCTATTTTTTTGCTGTAAAAGTAAAATTGTGATAAAATAGTTAAATTCTGTAATTTGTACGTAAATCCTTAGTAGAAATGCATTTATTTTTATTTTAACTATGTCTCTTCTGGAATATAGTTTAGTTGATTTTAGTTGTAAAAAATTACAGAATTCAAAATTATCAGAATTTTATTTGCAATGTTAATGCTTGATAAGAGAGTACAGGGTTTTTTTACACGACCTGTTCGGAAAGAGGAAAATATATTAAAAAAATGTATATTTCAAATTGGATGTCAAAATAATTTTTAATGGACTGGTTGTGTGGACACTCTGTATATTATATACCGTCATATTGGCGTTTTTCTCTCTAAATAATGATTTTGAATTAATATTTTTTATATCGGCAATATAAAAGCAAAATTTTATTAAATGGCGAATGCGCTAAGAAAATAAAATATTGAAATTAACAGACTGAAAAGAAAAATGTGAAAATAAAATTGAGATAAGATAAATTCTGTAATTTAAATATTAATTTCAGTATAAACGCATTTATTTTCATATATTTTTAGTATCAGTATTTTAATTTAATTCAATTAGAATAATATTTGACTGTTTTTTAAGCTCTCTCTTCTGAAATATATTTTAGTTGACTTGTTTAGTTATAAAAAAAATTACAGAAATTAAAATTATCAGAATTTTATTTGCAATGTTAATGCTTTATATAAAAGAGTACAGGGTTTTTCACACAATCTGTTCGGAAAGTGGAAAATATATTTAAAAAAAAGTATATTTCAAAATACAACTTAATAAAAAATACATATTTTAAATTGGATGCCAAAATAATTTTTAATGGACTGGTTGTGTGGCCACTCTGTATATCATATACTGTCATATTAGCGTTTCTCTCTCTAATTAAGGATTTTAAATTAATATTTTTTGCCCATAGCATTATAAAAGCAAAATTTTATTAAATGGCGAATGCGCCAGGAAAATAAAATATTGAAATTAACAGATTTAAAAAAAATGTAAAAATAAAAATGAGATAAGGTAAATTCTGTAATTCAAATATTAATTTCAGTAAATACATTTATTTCTATATATCATATGATCGAAAAAAAACGGCGTCCAGTTGGCTGGGAAATGATCATCGATGACATTTCCCATATAAAATGACAGCGATCTACATTCCATAGCCATCGCTGACGCCGTTTTTTCTCGATCATACGGTATTTTAACTATCAATATTTTTATTTAATTCAATTGGAATAATATTTGACTGTTTTTTAAACCGTCTCTTCTGAGATATATCTTAGTTGACTTTTTTAGTTATAAAAAAATTACAGAATTCAAAATTATCAAAATTTTATTTATCGAGCATTTGCACTGTTAATATTTTATAAAAAAATACAGGGGTTTTCACACAACCTGTTCAGAAAGTGGAAAATATATTTTAAAAAAGGTGTATTTCAAAATACAGCTTAATTAAAAAATAGATATTTTAAATTTGATGCCAAAATAATTTTTAATGGACTGGTTGTATGGATACTATCCTTATACTATGTATATCTTATGCGTTTTTCTCTCTGAGGCCAGTATTACACTATTAAATTTCTTCGTCAAAGTTCTTTTATAAAAGATATTTGATGAAAAATTTGAGTGTTAATATACAATATTTTATAAAATCACACATATTTCACTGTTAAACTCTCAAACAAAATAAAATATATGACAAAGAAATTTGATAGTGTAATAATGGCTTAATATTTTTCACATCGGCGTTATAAAAGCAAAATTTTATTAAATGGCGAATGCGCCAGGAAAGTAAAATATTGAAATTAACAGACTTAAAAAAATTGGAAAAGTATAATTTAGTTAAGGTAAATTCTGTAATTTAAATATTAATATTATTGTTATATATGGGGTGGTCAGAATTAAAATGGGTCGAGTCCAATTTCATACTATTTTAAGATAATTATTATTGTCTTTATACGTTTACAAAATATTGTTTTGTTCCAGTAGAGAAATGACGCAAGTCACCCTTCTCGCATAGCCTGTTTATCTAACTTGTTTTACTCTAATTAAGTAACATTAAAAAACTTTAACTCTCATTTTCTCCATAATTATCTTCTAGGCCTTGATCCAGTTCAGTTCTGAACCCCTCGTATATCCCTGTAAGGACCCTGTACATTTTTTCGCGCTTATGCATTTTCTTATATAAGATTTCTGTTGCCCGTATCTTAGAGAAGGTTTAAATATTATACAGGGTGCTTTTAACAATATCTTTAAAATTGTAACAATTTTAACTGGATTTTTAATTTATGAATTTTTTTTTTTTTTTTTTTTTATATTATAGTTTTCTAAAAACTTGAAATAATTAAATTAATTTATAAGAAAAAAAAAGACACTAATGGCAAAAATTAATGTTTAATATACTGTATAATCGAAAAAAAAATGGGGTCAGTTGGCTTGGAAGTGACGATCATTAAATCTCCATATAAATTTACATATAAATGAAGCAACGATCTTCATTTCATGGCAACTGACGCCGTTTTTTCGATCATATGTTTCTATCTATATCAGTTGAATTGCCGTACTTCTACCTTAATAATTTAGGCAATTTCTAAGTATTAAAATTTCCGTGAATAGGCGCATTCGCCATTTCGTCAAGAAAAAAACGATAAACTTGATTTTCAAGTTAATATTAGAAAATGTTAAAACGTTCTACCAGGAGGTAATTATATCGAATTTTTGATAAACGGTTGTAATTAAAAAAGCACCAATTATTTTTTTCGGTCGCCACGGTACGTTAGATCTACAAATGCCTTCTATTATAATACAGTATGTCCCCAATCGTCTTTACAAGAGGAACACTTTTTTTTATTAAAATTCAAACCGCGTTTCGATGGTAATTTCGTTTTAAAATAAAACACTAATTCAACACAATACACTTAAAATACTTTACTTTTACCACTAGATGCGCAAAGCATGTTTGCATCATCAGCAGATGACTAATTCCAGTCTAATAATTAAAAATAACTTTTGCCTTTTTTTTAATAATTATTTCAGCCGATCATAACTACACTAATATAGACAAATTGAGCGTTTATATAGGCCCTCGGTTGGTACTGACTAAACGTGAAAAAATTAGCCAAGCGAGTCAATACTAATCGAGCGTAAAAATTAATTACCGAGACTAGAGCAATAGGAACAGAGAACTTAAAACGAATAGGTAATATCATTATCTCTGTTTATATTATCTTTACAATTGTAATTTGAGACTTGTTTCGTTAATTTTAAATTACTAACATATATCTTTTTTATCAAAATATATTGAGCAACATAAGATATATCCGCCCATATCTTATCTGTCCATATGTTTTTTAAATCTAGTTAATATTAATCTTCTAGTTTGCCCAAAATATATTTGATTACAATCTTTACATAAAATTTCTTTAATACCCGACCTTTCAGTGGAAGTGTTTTATCTTCGGATGGATTGTATAATTTATTTTTAGCTATACACAAGTTTATAATTGGCATTCTTAAAAAAATTCTTTTTAACTACAGGATAACTCTCTATCAAACGGTATTGAAGTATAGTTTGACTAGCTCTTGAAGTCAGTAGAGGGTGCTTGGTATCATTTTATCAATTCCCTGGCCACGGCACTACGGCCAGGGACAAGGTAGTGATAGGTTTTTTCGACCCCTAAAATACCAGAGGGGATTCCCCCTAGCATCTGGCTGGGAGCTTTGACCACCAACGCCGAGGTCTCGCATGGTCTAAAGGAAGTCTTTTTTTCTTTCGTTGCTAAGTGGAAAACTAAGTAGTTTATGAACTTAGAAATTTAAATTAGTCTTTTTTTTTCAACACTGTGATAAGATTCATTAGGAATATATCTGTGTGTAGTGGTATTTTTCTATAGATATAAGAGAAGTTTCTGGGGGATGATGTCTATACACAATATAAGACGGCTAGTTTAAATGTCATATAGTTTGTAGACCATTTACCAACGAAAGATATAAAATAGTGTTGAATGTAGCTGAATGCAGTGGATATTCTCCTTCATTAGTTGATTATAGTATTTCCGAAGTCAATTGGAAGATTGGAAGTAGTGAAACTCTTAATTATTTGTCCAGCTGACGCCGGCAAATAAAGTATCGAAATTAAGAGTTCTCATCTATTCCAACTGACTTCAGGAAAACTATATAAGCGCAGATAACTCAGTTATTTGTGCTATAAGTTTTTGATTCCTGCGAATTCTACTTTTCAAAGAAAGATACATCTAACTATATTTCAATACCGTTTAATACCTTCATCCCATGATTAAAACAGTTTTAAGAATGCTCAATTACAAATTTGTGTATAGCTAATATACTAAATTATAACTACTATTAGGTAATCCCAAAGGTAAAAAATCTCATCTGGAAAGGTCGAGTATTAATGAAATTTCATGTAAAGATTGTAATCAGAAATATGTTGCGCGAACTAGAAGATCCATATTAATTAGATTTAAAAAAAAATATGGCCTAGATAATATATGGTAAAGCAGATAAATCTTCCGTTGCTCAACATATTTTTTGATAAAGATCATTGTATATGTATAGATGTTAATAATTTAAAATTAATCAAGCAAGTCTCAAATTACAGGCAATTAGATGCATGTGATAGCATCAAAATAAATAAATGTAAAGACAATATGAACAGAGATAATAGTCCAATTCCTTCCAGTTATCTGTTCCTATTACTCTAGTCTCGGTAATTAATTGTTGCGCTCAATTGCTTTTGACTCGCTTGGCCCTATTGCTGGTCGAGTACCAGCCAGCTGTAAAAGTTCGAACCGCCCATCAATGGTTTAATCATCTGCCGATGTTGTTACATGGGCAGCGAAACGCGTGTTCAGTGTTAAAATAAAGGGTGTTTGATGTCTTCTGGTATTAGTGTTTTATTTTGATCATTAACAACGTTACTTAATTTCATATATTAATTATTTAGTGTAGTGTACAATTCAACTGGTTGCCGATGCCGTACGATCGAAAAAAAACGGCGTC